GTATTCACATTCGCCTCCCAGTTATCGAAATTTTCTTCGTTCTCCCCACTATAGGGTTCAAGAAACTTGATCTTCATGGGCTCTCTACGGGGGCGTACTTCTTCCTCCTTCGGGACGGCCAGCTTTGCGCCCTCAATGGCGCCTGTGCAGAACTTCTTTGTGCCCTCTATTCTTGCTTGCATTTCTGCACCTACGTGCAGCATCATCTCGCGTGCAAAGTCCCTGAAACCCAGGCGAATGGAGTGTAAGGCGATGTCCTGAGCTCTAGCAAACTGATGTTGCTCATCCCAGGCTTTAGCTAGAAGTTCTATATTTCGTGTTATAATATCAAATTTACCCTGTATGTCTACCTGTGCTTGGATCTGCTCCCTCTGCTCCTTGATCGCCTCCAACTCCTTCGCCATCTTGTTTGCCTCATCCATCCTCCTCTTCTTCTCCCTGGTGAGACGCAACTTCCCCTGTAATTTCTTCTCCTCCTCTATTGTTTGACGTCTCAACGGATCCTCTTCCGCCTCCAATTCCTTCACTACTGCTTCCTGCTCCTCCCGGGGAACATACAACATGGCTTCTTCTTCTTCCCCCAGGGATAAGTTTGCCACCCACTCAGAAACTTTCTTCTCTATCCAGGACTCTTCCCTTTTCGTGCCACTGGATTCCCCTTTGTCCCTGGTGCTCCTCCTCCTTTTCCTCTTCTATCTCCTTCTCTTCTACTGCCTTCATTTTCTCTTCCTCCTCCTGCTTCAATCTTTCCATCTCCTACTCCAACTTCTTCCTCTTCGCCGCCTGCTCCTCCTGTAGGGCCAACTTTTTGGCCAGTCTTATCAACTCCATCTTGGCCTCCTTCTCTTTTCTCTCTCTAAGTACAGCGGCGGCTTGCTCTTCCTGAGCCTTTGTGTAAGGGGTGGTACTCTTGCCACTACGTAGGTCAACCATGGTGAAAGGTGTACAATCAAGAATCAGTTCCACTTCTCAACACTTAGATTCTCACCCCTGACTGACTTAACTTAGGACTGACTCAACTAAGGACCACAAAATCTATATAAGATCCTATCAACTATGGTCTCTAGCCTAGACCTAAAACTAAGGCTGTCACTACAGGACTTACTGCTGATCAGGAGGCATTTAAGGAGATCCCCCGTAACTCCTCAGGAATTCTTTAACGTCGCAAACAGGACGACGCGATCAGCAAGTCCTCTCAAGACTTAGACAGCTCATTGTGCAGCCCACAGCTCGGATTTTGGGCCTCCTGTGCCACACTGAGCAGCCCGCCGGTCTGTACCGGTCCTTGGGAGGGTTCGTGTCCTCAGGTCAGTCAAGTTGTCAGACACAGCCTTTAGCCCTACTCAGCCCGTGTGGGTTTGGTCAACAAAGCTCTATGACCGAATACACAGAGTTCCTATCACCTGGACAGAAGAGACTCAATGCAGAAAGAAGAGACAGACAGACTCAGCAAGTACCATGGGGTGAGTGCACATCCATAGGGCGAGGGGATAGGCTGAAGGCTTGGCGAGAATATACCAACTCCAGCTTGGTCAATTTCGTGGTCAACAGCCCCGGTCAA